ACTAACGTAGATGGAGACTACAGAATTGGCACTAAAGAGAAAAACTCATGCTCAATAATCTGCTACAATAATTCTGTAACATGATATGGTTATTTACCAGTAAAAGTGTCTAGAAAAATTATTTGAGATCTGTTACTATATTACATAATATTAGTGACATGGTGCCACAAAGTGCCATAACCAAACCCATCGTTTCAAAAGCTTTGTTGTTAAAATCTTACTGTCATAACCATCTTCTTAAAATTCTATTTGAGATTCTGGGGGTTCACCAAGAATTTTGTAAACCCAGATAACTAGGATTATTTGTACAGCCAAATTTTGAACTGTTACCCTGGGGGACTCTCACTTGTGCTTATATACTTGAAAGAACTGCATATAACATTGAAGAGGAAACCATGAAAGGGCAATATAATAGAGGGCTTTGTGTCCACAAGTTGAAGCCAACAACCGCAAAAGCAATCAAAACTTTGAGACTGTTCCAGCATCTGAAGGTCAACATCGCTTGACAAAAATCAATGAAGAAAGAGAAATGTATATGTAAACAAACACTGCGATTCATAATTCAACCAAAATGCCCAGGTACATAGCATAAATGGAATTTCAAATTCCTCATAAAAGATTTCACGAAACACCTCAAGCAGCCAGTCATTTTTTAGGCGAAAAAGCTCTTCCTTTATGTACAATAGGCCAACCATCCAACCCAGTATTAAAATGCACTAAATCAAGTATTCTCTCTCCTTCCCCTCAAAGCTTTCACTTAATAATGATTAAAGTAGAACATGGAATGCCGAAAGACTCCTCTGAATTTGTGACTAAGACATTTGCAACTGATTGCAAAATAGGCATTCCCATAACAAAATCAGAAGTCAAATTCTCCAGTAGCCTGCAGGAAACACCCAACGTTTCAGTTAATATATAGAATCTAACCAAAAAACTAATAACACTATTAGAACAGCGATACTGGGAGGGGGTGGCCAAAGGCCAGGTCATCCTTGACAAAGAAGGGGAAATCCAAAACTGCCAAATCTGACTTGACTCTCACAATTTTCCTGGCTCTTCTGACTGAATGGGTCAAATAAAGGCACAAAAGAAGAGGCCAAGAAGGTACCTTATTGAAGAGAATATCCTTGTTGTTGATATGCATGATGCCATCCTTCAGCGTGCATTTCCATCGGCTCTTAGTCCGAGTCACCTACTCGCCAAAATGTCAGTAGTATGGATTAGTACTTCTCATAATCATATTAGCAAATATTTTTATAGGAATTTTTTTTTGAAATAAATTTTATAGGAACTATTAGTACCTATTACATGGAAAAACAGTATTTACCTTGTCAAACTGAGCCAAAACCAAATGCTGTGTGTTCAACTCGTCTCCTTGGTCCACATCATCTAACTCATCATCATCATCTTCATTCAAGAGCTCCTCATCATCATCATCTACTGCATCATTTTGAGCAACAACCGCAGGAGTACCTGCCTGTATATCTGTAATAGGAGCAACAGGCCCACGCAAAAAAGACAGCTCTCAGAGAGAGAAAAAAAATATATGCCAAGTTATTATTGTGGAACTATGCCATGTCAATACATCTATTGACTAAAATTACCATTAGGAGCTGGTGTGTTCACAACATTGTAGTCCTCACTGACAACTCCTTGATAATTGTATATCTTGAAAGCAGAGGAGAGTTTTACAGAAGAGAGAACAGCCAATAAGTACATCGGAATTCTCAAGAATGTTCATAATGAGTGAGAAAATGAGAGGTGAAACATAATTATTCATGGTTCAGCTCCAAAAGATACAGGACACAAAACTAGCATTCAAGTATCTAAATGTAATTAAAACATCAAGTTGATGAGGAATGCAGCACCAAGCTAATAATGGATTTCTATAAGAATTTATATGCATTGATGCCACAGCAGCAAATAAACGAGTAATCTTGATCATCATATCAATTTTCTTCATGGCTATAATAAGTCAACAAACAGCCAAAGCAGGTCCCTCAATTAAGATTGCACATACGAAGCATTTATAGAGGAAGGACCATCAAAAGCTGAACATCAAGCTTAAAACTGGTTAAGCAATGTCAACAGTTTTGGAGGTGGAAATGTATGCTAACAATCATATTGGTACAAACATCTGAGTAAGAAAACAAGACACACTCTTTGCTTGAAATTGTGATCCTTACATTGGGAGTAGAAAGCACATCATCATAAGGATCAGGAATCGGACCATCCACTTGAGGAATCTTCAAAGATCCCCTACCAACACTTCTATTTGCTGTGGTGAGTCTTCCATGGCCAAGAACAGAAGCCTCTTCATGGCTTACCTGAGAGTTTACAATTATATGTTCAGATCGCTAAAACTCAAGAAGACTTCGGACTGACAAAGAACGATTGAATCATTTCAAAAACAGCACTAGGAAGATTTTCGAACAACCAATGGAATCATCTCCATGGCCGTAAACTTGAGGAATCTTCAAAGATCCACAAACATTCATTTTTAACCCCAAAAAAGTATCTTATTCTAATAAGATTTTTTAACAACTGAAACCCCGTTGGCATAGACAGGATAAGAAAGTAACACGAAGTACATTTATGAACCAAACAAGAAATACTAAAACACTTGAGCCTCATTTATTTCAGCTTATGGTAGTTTCTCTATTCAACTCTTATAAATTCAAGCACCAGCTCAATCAAACACCAAAACTTATCTATTCAACTTAAATTAATTAAACTATCATTTATTCTTAAATTAAAAAATTATATTTTATTTTTACATCTTTTGACTCACATGCTTACTTTTTGATGCACCAATAAAAAAACTTATAAAGCATACTACACTAACAAGCACCAGTTTCGACTCTAAACAAGAATAAAATTGTATAAGATCAGGTGAGGTACCTAGCATGCCACAAAATTAATCCAATTTAGCTCCAATTACGTCTTAAAATGGCAGCCCATAAAATGACATGTCCAACTGAAACTTGATGCTCATTGAACATTGTTACTTAATCTAGTAAATAAATTTCATTCTTTTCCTCCAGCTCACATAAAAAAATGAGAGCACATATTAAAATTTCATTGTGCCCATTGTTTATTAGAATTTTCAAAGCTAACTCCAGCCTAGCTCAACCAAAAGCCGAGTTGATTTAAACTAATAATACACTTGACCTAAATGGCAAACCACAGTCAAGGCAAAACACCTAATCTGATTATATAAATTATTAAGTACACACAAATTGAATTCCCTTTTTCCATCAGATGTTATGGCATCACTCGTATCTCAGTTATTTACAAAACAGCTGAAACCAAGAACCATAAATCATTCTCTCTAGCATCCCAAAGCAAATCAAACCTTTTCTTTGACTGCTATCTCCCAGATGGAAAATAATTGAAGATCCTTAAGAACAATGCACAATCATATTAAAAAATGCAAATAAAGTTTTCATACAACAATTGTGAAGCTGACATAAACTTGCTTAACTCAAGGCAGCATGATCTATCATCAAATAATAAGAAAAAGCACATCTCAACCTCCAGTGTCTCAGGCATTGAATCTCCAGCTCCATCCTGTTGCGGAATATATCCACCATTGTTATATTTATTAGAAAATTCCTCACGTTTCCGTTTCCCAGAAGACATCATGAAGAAGTCCTGGAATGTCCTCAAATATTAAATATGATTCTCAAATTCAACTGTTGTAGAAAATTATTGTACAACTAATATAACAGTGAAGGAAGCCATTTCATCATTTATTTTTCCTTAACCAAAAAGCCATATATGATCTATTATAACAAGAGTTACCTGTGTCAGGGGCTGATGGGGCTGGTGAGGCTGATTTGGTTGATGGGACGTACCTCTGTCTGCCTCATCCCGCCCTTCCACATAAGCTACAGAAAGAATATAAATTTAAACTAATAGTAACAAGAATTCATAATGCGACACCTTACTTACCAACATTAACATCAACGCTAAGGGGCCTTTGATTTGTCCATGGGGAAGGAGATTGCTGCAAAAGATGTAAAAACGACAAACAAAAAAATTAGCTCCATATCACTTTTGGTTAACCAAAATTTTCCTTCCTACAAACTCAGTGAGATAAAGGCTATTGGGTACACGTGCTAATATAACTGGGTACCTATTCATGAAGTACATGAAGATTGGGTACACGTGATAACATAATTCAGTCATAATGCAAATATAAAAACCTCCAAAACACTATTTGTTGCTTAAAGACAATGTATGCTCACCGTGTACGGGCTCGGTCTGCCACCTTTCACCTCAGTATTGCTGCTGGTCTCACTTACAGGAGTCTGGTACTCGCTGTTTCCAGTAGGAATATTGTACATTGAGTTATCGGCACTACCTGGCAAGGGAGTCTGAATAGGAGTCTGCAACGGGGTCTAAATTTCAAACAGAACCCACATGAAAATAAGTAAACCTCAAGAAAGTAAACCCATAAATCAGTTCAAACTCCCCATACAACCAATTATTATGAAAATTAAAACACTACTAAAACTCACTGGAGGGAAAAGTATCTCGGCAGTGGGAGTCTCGTACTCCTCACTCCCATCGTACGGTACATTAAGATCGTGCACTGGCGTGATTGGAGGTGGTGGTGGTGGTGGTGGCTTCTGACCCGAACCCCTCTCTATCGGACCACATATAACTCCCGCTTGCATCATTTTCATCTCCCACATCTACGCACAGAATCCACCGACAGAACAAACAAAATCAGCACAGCTTACAGCTCCCAGAACCAAATTAACAACCAGTAATACAGTATCAAGCTAAAGCCCAGAACCCTAGATCTCGACAGATCAAATCTCACGCAAGCCAATACCCTAATCCACCGAACCAAAACCTCCAATCTCCTCGAGCATCAATAAAGTTAACAAGAAACTAACAAAAACTAATACAATCGCATCGAAAATGGAAAAGGATTTCAACATCCAGAGACAAACGCAAAATATTACTGCTTGTAGCTCGGTGAGGACACTATCCCCAGGGCCTCCGTTGTTGACGAACTCCTCGCGGACCTTGTTGATGACGTCCTCGATGACGTGGATATACACGGCACTGGTCGTCGTCGACGCTGCCATTATCCAGCTCCTCCGATCCTCTTATTTCCTCCTGGAAAATAAAAATGCTCTACTCTACAAAACTAAAACCGGATTTTAATTTTCTCGGGAAAATTCAGGAGAGAAAATACAGTAAACGAAGAGGCATGAAGGGTATACCTCTTTACACGTTCCAATTATAGAGGGTTTGTCTAGGGTTTGTAAGGCGTTGCAGAGTGAGAGACAAAGAGAGACAAGGCTAAAAAAGAGAGAGACAAGGGCGAGAGAAGATAGAGAGAGAAGGGGCGGACCAGAAAAGAAGAATAAAGAGTGGAATATAAATAGGTTTGCATCCGATTATATGAAGTGGGTCCACGTGGCAAGATCTGGTGGGTCGATATATTTTTGTTGTCTTTCTAATTTATTTATTTATTTTTTGAGTGTAAACTCCACAACAATCTCTCGTGTCCTGTCCTTCTAACGCTCTGTGATATTTTTTCGTTTTATCCAGAAATGGATGGAATGGACTCCTGCTACCATGCATCGCCTAAGATCCTATCATTCTCAAATGCTGTGTTACTCGTTGGCATCATCTCCACCGTTCATTTCCGGTCTTCATTGTTCTTTACCGGTCAGCGTGACGAGCGGTCCTGATCAACCCATCACAACAAATTGGAGTGCTCACAATTTTTCATATGCTTATTACCCCACTGTTGGTTAATAAAATTGTAAATGTATATTATTTTATCAAATTTATTTTTAAGTAAAATTTATTATAAATACATTTAAACAACAAAAAATTAAATACATATATATATATATATACATACATATATACAGTGGGTGTCGGATTCCGACAAATTTTTTAAGGATCGATCATACATGAATTAGTACCGACTTGTTCATCTTTTCAGGACAAGCCAACGAGAATATGCATCTTTTAAATCGAGATGAGAAAATATTTTCAATAACATTTTAATTCCAGTCCCGGTGGATGATGTTATTTTGACTGCTGTTCCAACTGTATACGAACATGTTACGTTCCATAACTCAGTCCTGGTACGACATTTGGTTTCAAACCGGGTCAGAAGTTCTAAGCAGGCCCAGCCCAAACTCGACTACGAACCTCGTACAGCCCAGCTTATAACCTTACCTGCGATTGTTTTACTTGGCAGAGTTTAGAATCGGGGAATTCCGGTATCGGTTAGGGCACGCGAATCTCCTGCTCACCGATTTCTCTCCATTCAAGCTAGTGGGAACTCGAAGCCAGCAAGTTTCTATCTGGCAGAGAACTTTTTGGCTCGGCCATAAGGTAGGATTAATCTCCATTTCGACGTGACTTGAGCTTCAACTTCAAATCGCCATTCATATCGCAATAAAGTATCATTAGTTCGTCGTTTCAAACTGAAGCTCTCCAAAAACCCTAGAAAATGTCGGGCGGGTTCTTTCGAGTAAGTTTCTTCTTATGCTGCTTGTTTTAATTTAGAGCAAATGGATCGAGATCTCAGAAATAGATTTCGCTATATTAGTTACTGGTTAAGCTGGTTGTGCTTTATCGGGGGGTTCGCTTGGGAGCTGGGGTTTGATTTTGTGTCGTTTTCAGGGAACTTCTGCTGATCAGGACACCCGGTTTTCGAACAAGCAAGCCAAGCTTCTGAAATCGCAAAAATTCGCTCCCGAATTGGACCATCTGGTTCGTTTTATGCATATATGTATATTTATGTGTGTTTATATGCCTTGCTTGTGTTTATAACTTTAATTAGAGTAAGATAATGATGGTGGTTGAGGACCTACTGAATGATTAAGTATATATTCTTATTTGAGCTTGTACTTATAGAAATGAATTTTAACAATGTCATAATAATGGCTGAATCAAGGGAGCATTCTTGATTTTGCGAGCTAACTGTTAGGCAATATTCGTTAAGTTCACTTTTGCCTAGTGCTCACCAGTTTAGTAGACTGTTTACTCAGTTTTGAATTGTTTTATTATTTGTTTGTCTACTCCCGAGTTTCAATCAGTGGCCTGGATTTTGGTAGTTTTGCTTCATTTCGTTCTGTCTCTGAAACCTTATTAGATTTTAATTACTCTGATGTGTGAATGCATGATTCTATCGGTTGATTGTTTATGCATAAATGACTGGTTTTAGGTGGACACAACCAAAGTGAAGATGGACGTTATCAGACCCTGGATTGCGACTAGGGTAACCGAGCTTCTTGGGTTTGAAGATGAAGTTTTAATAAACTTCATATATGGTCTGCTTGATGGAAAGGTGATGAAAGATCCTTTAATGTATTAGATTTTAAAAGCATGCTTCATTAATGTGGTTTATGCAGAAAACTGGTTAATCTATTTGAATTTTTTCTCTGTGTTGTCTTTGTCCTTTGGATCTCTAATACAATGAAGCATGATTAGCTTGTCATAGGGGTCAAACATTCTGTTAGCTGTACTTCTATCCACGAGGATATTAGTCGAGCCAAGAATTGTCTCTAAAATGTGTTAATGGAATTTTTATTCTAGGAAACTTGTTGATGGTTGTACTCAGGGATTTGCATTCTAGGATTAGCAAAGTTCTGATTAGCTGCGTGTTATATGATGCAGGAGGTGAATGGGAAGGAGATTCAAATATCACTTACTGGATTCATGGAAAAGAATACTGGAAAGTTCATGAAGGAGCTTTGGACACTTCTCATCAGTGCACAGAAGGCTGACAAAGGCATTCCGCCACAATTATTGGATGCTAAAGCAGAAGAAGTCAGGAAAAAGAAGGTTGAGTTTGTTTTGGCCCATGCTATGGTTTGTGGCCAGGACTCCATTTCTCTTTCTTAACAATGTTATCATGTGTCATGCAGGCAGAGGTAGATAGAATTACAAGTGAAATAATGAAGAAAAAGGAGAGGGAAAGTAGAGAAATTGAGGAGGAGAGATTGAAGAAGCTGGTAATACTTACTTATTCATGCTGGAGTTTGATTGTCTAGAGTTGGGTTTTTGGCGTTAACTTTCATTTGTCTTTTTATGGTATTCAGCTAGCTTCTCCAATTATTTGGGTTCATGTCCTTTACCTCAAACTACTGTAGGACGGTGGTGTTGAACCAAAGGCCACGGATTCTGTCTTGGAGCCAATTGCAAAGCATATGTCGCCAAAACATTTGGGTGCCAATCCTGCGGAGAAAGCAGCTAATGAGCGGAATGGTGTGAGAGGAAGGAGCAGGTAAGATCTGTAAAACTGCATTTACAAGGCTTTGATAGAGATTTGAGAAGTTCCAAATCAACCTCCAAATGTCGCTTAAAGTAATAAATAAATATAATTTATTTGTAGCAATTTTCTGTCTTTCAATCTTCAACCTTATAATAATTGCCCTCAAATTGTCACAGTTTTCTTCTTGTCTATGATCTCAAGCTTGTGCATTGCAGCTTGAGATATGGGTTTAATTCCTATGAAGGATGCAACATGAGTACTCACTTAGATGCCCTTCTTTCCCATCCGGATTTCTTTTTACGCATTTGTACCAGGCATGAAAATAATAGTAGAATGCTTCTTTGGAAAAGTCTCTCTTTTTTCCTTTTATCCTTCATTGTGCCTTGTACCTTTAACCTTTGTTTTAAGAATGTCATAAATAGTAGGTCCACTACTTAGATATGCTTCTTTCCACTTCTAACATCTTCACTCTTTACCAATTTTTAGAAGGCATGAAAATGATATTAGAGAGCTTTGTTGGTAAATGTATCATTTTCTATTACACCCATCATTGTTCCTTGTACCTCACTTTTTTCTTTTGGAAAGTTGTACCTTAGACTCAATGCCATTGTCTTGAAACCTTGTTTTATCACATGGGTTGACATAATGGGGTTTTGGCATTTGGTTAAGGTCTATAACAAGATAAATAGTCGGGAAAGATGCTAATTGTCAGTATGTATAACATGTCAAAATGCTTGCATTAATGGAATTGATTTTTCTGTTAACAAGTTTCTTCTTAATTTGTGTATTTTAATATCTAGTAGAAGCGATTGTTTGTAAAGTTAATCATATTTCAATCTCATGCAGGGTTTCAAGATCCCCGCATTCAACTAATCATTTCCCTTCTTTTCCTCGGTAATCATTTATCTCCTAAAGTTTTATTTTTCAAAACCTTTGTCTCTCCTACATATACTAATACGGAATGGAAGATATTGGAGGTTCTTTGACAGAAAGGAAATCTTTGTTTCCTTGACGGTAGCATGGTAGATGCTTTACTCTATCATATCAATGATCCTTTCTATGTAGATTAAAAGACTTTATATATATAGCTTTTCTTGACAAAAAGCTTTTATATTACTTTTACCTATTTTCTTAGCCTACTTGCAGAAGATTTGTATGACATGTTGACTTCTCCTGTAGTGATTCTCGTTCTCGATCAAGGAGCAAATCATTTTCTAATTCTAGAAGTTACTCAGGGTACGTAATTGATTTTGTTCTACTTGTTTGGTAATCAAACATGGTTTATTACTTGATTTAATATTTCCCTTTATATTTCAAATAATCTTATGTTTTTGACTCATTTGCAAATGCAGTGGTAGGCACAAGTCCAAGAGTATATCAAGATCACCTAGACCACGAGGGCATTCTATATCCTCTGATAAGTTGTATCGCTCTCCAAGAAAGCAATCTATTACACCACGTCGTAGGGGTTCACCACGGGCCTCTGTTTCTCCTTCAAGACGAAGGTCATCATATTCTAAGAGAAGATCTAGGTCACCTTGGAAATCACCATCTCCGCTACGACGAAAACTACGTTCTCCTTATCGACGTAGATCACCATCACCTATTCGACGACGCAGGTCACCATCACCTATTCGACGTCGTAGGTCCCCCTCCATTAGTCGACGCCGTAGATATTTGTCACCTCCTCGGCGTAGATCACCCTTATCCATGCGACGCAGGTCACCATCACCAAGCTGGCGTAGATCCCCATCGCCAGCACGACGTAGGTCCCCCTCCCCAAGTCGACGAAGGTCCCCATTGTCGAGTCGGCATAGGTCCGTGTCACCTAGGTGGCGTAGGTCATTGTCACCAGACCAAAGGAGGTCCTTATCACCAAGTGGACAAAGGTCGTCTTCACCAAGCCAACAAAGGTCCTTGTCACCAGGTCGAGGAAGCTCACTATCCCCAAAAAAATGTTACTCTCCATCATTAGGCCGGCGCAAGATGCTAGGAGTAGTTCGACGTCGTTCGTTGTCATCCGAGCAAGACAGATCATTATCCCCAAGGCGGCGTAGATCACCATCCCCTGTGCGGCGTAGATCACCGTCCCCTGTGCGGCGTAGATCACCGTCTCCTGTGCGGCGTAGATCACCGTCCCCCGTGCGACGTAGATCACCGCCCCCCAAGCAACATAAATCACCATCTCCAACACAATGGCGACACCGTGAATCGTCATTCAGTCCACGACGTATATCTCCATCACCAACAAGATACAGGTCACCTATGCCTGGTCGCAGGTCAAGAACTTTGACTAAAGGTCGATCCCCTTCACCTAATGGGTCAAGTTCTCCAAGTCCTATTCGCCATAAATCAACTACACCAGTTAGGAAGATATCATCTGCGGACCATAAGGGATTATCACCCTTGCCATCGTCTAAAGAACGAAACAGGTGTTTTTTGCATTCCTTCTTTGAGTTGCTTTGTTTTTAGACCTCATTCATTCATTAAAACTTTTAATGTTTTTATTTTCTTACTATTTCTTTTTCTATATTATAGATCGCATGGGAGGTCATCTACAGTAGCTCATCCAGTTGCTAGTTACCCAAGGTCACCACGAAAAAATCCAAATGATCAAAAATATTTATCTAATCAAGTATTGGCTTCACCCCTCTCGCCAGAGAGGTCTCCACAGCATGCACGAAAAGCCTTAGCCAGTGAAAACAGGAGGTATTTATTAGTTAGAGACTTTGCTTTGTCTTTATTATCTTATGCGACCCAGTATATTCTTTTTTAAATAGCTATGGTGAACATGATGCCATAAAACCTTGTTCCATTTTAAAGATCAGCCAGTCCATGTGAGAATGATACAAGGCAAACAAGGGATCGGATAATCTTTGATGGCAACTCCAGTCCACAAAAGTCAGGGGAACTGAAACCTCGTTATGATAGCTCAGAAACAAGCGGAAGGGATAAAGAACCCAGTTACACTAGGTTAGGATGCAATTCAACATTTTATTTATTGTTATTGTTATTATTATCTTTTAGTTTCTCTTTTGTTGCTGTTAGCATATAGGATAGAAGTTTCTTAATCTTAATGTAGTGCTTGATATCTCTTTATAGGGAAGATTGGGATCATGCGTCTAAGTCTGCAAATAAAAGATCTATGAACTCATCTCTGGCTGGTAAACTGAAAGATTCACCTGGAAAGGTCCATTATTCTGAATCTAAAATGGACATAGAAAGAAAGAGGTAACATGTCTCTGCCATACTTGTTTATTTTTTGGGCATATGTCCATAGTCTAATATTTTGATTCATTCTTTGACAGTGAGAAGTCTTCAGGAAGGAATTTTCACCATGAAATACCAGATCAACAAAGGCCTCCATCATCATGTAAGGATTCTGGTGAAGGTTTAAAATCTGAGGACAGGAATCAATCTTTTCAAAATAAAATAAAGGACAGCGGCCAACACAAGCCAGATAGAGAGCTGATGTTGATTGAAAAACCTGATCGTGATAGTAAGAGCAATAATACCAGTTCTGGTTCTGACGAAAGTGATAAGCACAGAACCAAGGAGAGAGGAAAGAGAAAGCATAAAAGATCTGAGAGGAGAGAAATGGTTTCAGATGAGAGCAGTTATGATTCTGAAGTAGAGGATAGGAAGGAGGCTAAGAGGAGGAGGAGGGAAGAAAAGAAACAGAGGAAGGAGGAAAAGCGTCGCCGACGGGAGGAGCGTCGTCGTAAAAGGGAAGAACGACGTGCAGAGAAGAAGAAATTGAAGAATCAAAATTATTCTGATGCTTCAGATAGTGAAAGCATTCGAAGGAGGGGCTCTCATCCCAGTGACAATGAAGAGACAGAGTCTGAGCAGAAGAAGCTTGAGATTGAGTTACGGAATAGGGCACTTGAGTCACTGAAAGCAAAGAAGGGTGTCAATCGTTAAATATTTTGCTGCCGTGGGATAATAATATATTTTACTATCTTAATTGTGTTTATCAGTATCTTTTTGGACTCTTCCCTAGGAATTTTATATGTTTTGATTATGACAATCAATATCTCTCTAGAGCTTTCTAGGAATTTTATGTTCCGATGGGAAGATTTTTGATATGGGTGGCGACTGTTTAATCTAGTCTGTGTTTACTGCTGGGCAGCTGA